AGGGCATCAAGAACAAAGAACGACATAACGAAGGAGTAGTTTCCTGTATTGAGTCATTATATGTCCTTAGTTGTGTTGCATCTTTGTCAAAGTGATTTACTTGTAATTCCTACTTAGCTTAGTTAGAAGCATTGTGTAGGAAACCTTTTGTAAAATCACAAACCTTGTGTTTGTGTCTTGGCTAGAGTTAGTCGAGTTGTAAGCTTTGTAATAGAGTTATTACAAAGGGGCTTGTGATAGAGTTATTACAAGTTAGTGAAGAATTAAGAGGTTAATCCTAGGTTACAATAAGTTGTAATCTAAAGTTTGCTACAACCTAAAGTTTGCTCAGTAGTGAAGTTGAAATCGTACGAGGGTAGGTTGTGGTCTTTAATCCCGTGAGCTGGGAGTTATCCACATAAAACTTTATTATGTCAGTTACTTACTGTTGTGTGTGCGCGTTCTGTGGGAACTAATAGAGAACCTAGTTTTCTATATAGTTTGGTGGACCCTTAGTTTCTATCAATTGGTCTCATAGCAGGTACTTTCTATTAGGCTAACACCTATAAAGGATCCTCATTGTTGCTCCACCAAACTTTGAAGAAGGTCAATCTAGCTACAGACCATCAAGATTCAACGGCCAATACTACAGATGGTGGAAGACAAGGATGCATGATTTTATCATGGCTGAAGATTTAGAGCTCTGGGATGTTATCTGCGCTGGCCCATTTGTTCCTACAAAGACCATTAGTGAACCAGCAGTGACAGTTCCCAAAACAAGAAAGGAGTACAATGATGCTGACCGCAAGGCTATAGAGAAGAACTTTCGAGCAAAAAAGCTTCTCGTATGTGTTATTGGACCAGATGAATACAACAGGATTTTAGCTTGCCAATCTGCTAAGGAGATTTGGGAAGTTCTCCAAACAGCAACAAAGGGATAACTCAAGTAAAACAATAGAAGATTGACATGCTAACCACCGAGTATGAGCTCTTCAAGATGAAGGATGATGAGTCCATTTAGGACATGCATACTTGCTTCACCTCTATCATCAATGAGCTTCATTGTCTGGGAGAAATCATTCCCAGGAACAAACTTGTCAGGAAAATACTTAGGTGTATTACCTGGTTCCTGGAAAAGAAAAGTAAATGCTATCACAGAGGCAAAGGATTTGCAGAAGCTGACCGTTGATGAACTTATTAGTAATCTGAAAACCTATGAAATGAAGAAGAAGGATAATGAGAGAAGAGAGCCCAAAAGGGAGAAGGACATGGTCCTCAAGATAGACAACAATGATTCAAGTGGTGAGGATGCTGATATGGCTTACCTGACAAAGAGATTTTAGAAAATGGTCCGCAGAAATGGAGGTATTCCAAAGAGGGGCAGTTCTAGCAAGCCAAGAGGGTATGACCTATGTCATAAATGCGGGAAGCCAGGACATTTCATCAAGGATTGTCCTTTCCACAAGCAAGACCAGTACAAGCACAACACAGACAAAGGAGGCAAAAGGAACCCAGTTCCTGACAAAAGATTCAAGAGAAAAGATGTCGTTGACAATGTTGTGAAACAAGCTCTTGTTGCATGTGGAGACTCATCCAACGAATCAGGAGAAGATGATGAACAAGGCGATAGTTCCATGATGGCAGTAGAAAGTGAAGCAGTTGAATATGACTCTATCTTTGCCTTGATAGCAAAATCTAACGATGATGATGAAGATGAGGTAAACTTTCTAGACGTTCAAAGAAATTTGAAGTCTTACTCTCAGAAAAAGCTTATATCTTTGGCAAATGTTCTAATTGACGCTTATCATAGTCTTATAAAATTATAATGCACTAACTGTGGAACTAGGAGAGGTAGAACATGAGAGAGATGATCTAGTAATTGTAGTGGTAGATCTAGAAACCATCGAGGATTTAAAGAAAGAAAAAGATGTTCTGATTGAAAAATTACAAACATAGAGCATGAAAGAGATGACCTGTTAGTAGTAGTTATGGACCTAAAGGAAATAATTGAGGAATTAAAAAAGGAAAGCATGCATTGAAACACTCAAAAGGGAAAGGAAGTTGCAAGTAAAGCACACCTTAGGCTTGAAAATGAGTTAAAATTAGTGAAATCTAGTTTCTGTACTAAACTTGAGAGAAACCGACAACTTCAGAAAGATCTAGGCAGAGTTAAGAATGACCTAGAAAAATCCCTTAAGTGGACCTGGTCCTCTGATGCAGTCACTGCTATATCTAAGAACAATGGGGGAACATGCAGGGAATTGGGTTTCAAAAGGAAAAGACCCCTTACAATCCTCATAGCAAGTACGTTACCATCCCTGACAACTAGCTTTGCAGTCACTGTGGTAACACTGGGCATTTTAAAGAAACATGTAAAGCTAGATTTCAGTCCCAGCAGAAAAATAAAGTTCTTGTTGAAAAGATAACTACTGCTAAAGAACCTGGTGCCTCAAATAAAAAATGTATGATGCCTGCTTGGACAAGAAGAGCCTTGATTCACCCGTTTCCTCATTACAAGGGACCCAACTCATTTGGGTTCCTAAGTCTAATTCTTGATTTTCTTGTGCAGCGAGCAGTGAAAAGAAGCAGCCAAAAATGGTATACGGATAGTGGTTGTTCTAAGGGCAAGCACTAATAATTTTCTTTCACTCAAAGCCCTACAAGGAGGGAGTGTGTCCTTTGGAAATGGCAAAAAGGGATACATTCTGGGAGTTGGAAGGATTGGGAAGTCTCTCACTCTCTCAATCGAAAATGTGTATTATGTGAACAACTTAAAGTACAACTTACTGAGTGTTTCCCAAATCTGCGACAAGGGAAACAAAGTGGAATTTATGTCAAAAATATGCACAATCACAAATCTCACTTGTTTGAGTGATGTTGATGATGATGCTGAACTATGGCACAGAAGATTGGGTCATACAAGTTTTATGTTGCTGAACAAATTGGTCAAAAAGGACATGGTTCGTGGCCTGCCTAAGTCAAGCTTCAAAGATCACAAGGTGTGTTATGCATGTGTAAATGGAAAGAAAGTCAGATCCTCCTTCAAGCCCAAAAAGGAAGTTAGTACCTCAAGGCCACTTGATCTCCTCCATATGATATGTGTGGACCTATCAGAGTGCCAAGTAGAGGAGGAAAGAAATACATTTTTTTAGTGGACGACTATTCCAAATTCACCCGGACCCTATTTCTCAGAACCAAGGATGAAACTTTTCAAGTATTTGCTGCATTTGTGAAGAAGATCCAGGTGAAGATGAGCCATAATGTAGTGTGTATAAGATCTTATCACAACACAAAATTTGACAATGCTAAACTCGACGAATTCTGTGCTGAAAATGGCGTAAGTCATAATTTTTCAGCTCCAAGAACACCTAAACAAAATGATGTTGTGGAGAGGAAGAATAGGATTCTTGAAGACATGGCAAGAACAATGTTGATTGACAGCGGCGTTGCAAAAGGTTTCTGGGCATAAGCAGTCAACACTGCATGCTACTTGATGAACGAGTGCATGATCAAGTCCCTCCTAAACAAAACCCTATATGAACTGCTGAACGGGAGGAAACCCAAGCTGACACATTTAAGGGCATTTGGCTGCAAATATTTTGTCCTCAACAATGGTAGGAAGCAGTTGGAAAATTCGATACCAAAAGTGATGAAGGAATCTTTCTGGGCTATTCATGACAAAGCAAAGCCTACAAAGTATACAACAAAACAACTCAATATGTTGAGGAAAGCATACATGTGATCTTTGATGAACCTCACCACCTATGTGGGAAATATTCACATGATAAGATTGATCAAGACGGAGAGTAGTCAATTGTTCCTGGTGAAGTCATTGACATGGCAAATGGAAAGGCTGACATGATGAGTCACGTCAAGGAATCAAATGATGATGGTGCAACTGTATCTCCAATTGATGTTGAGGAACCCGGTTCCTCAATCACAACAACTGAAATTAAGAACAGAGTTGTTGATGTTGTCCAAGGAACCTCACATGCTGAGCTGAGAAGCGGAACTCACGTCAACCAACGATAAAATTCAGAAGTACCTGGATCCTCTCACAATGGGATTCAGGTGTCTAACTGGAAGCACAAAAGTTCACACCTTCTTGAAAATGTGATCACTCCTCTTGACTCAAGGATTCAAACTAGATCAAAGTCAAGAAACTCGCTTGCCTTCTCAGCCTTTCTCTCTCAAATTGAGCCCAAAAATATCAAGGAAGCATTGAAAGATGCTGACTGGATTACGGCTATGCAAGATAAACTCCATCAATTTGAGAGGAACAATGTATGACACCTGATTCCACGACCTGCTGATAGAACTCTTATAGGAGCTAGATGGGTATTTAGAAACAAACTTGATGAGTTTGGAAACACAACAAGGAACAAGGCAAGGCTCGTAGTTCAAGGCTACAATCAAAAAGGAGTTGACTATGATGAAACTTTTGCTCTAGTTGCTCGAATGGAGGCCATCAGAATCCTTATCGCCTTTGCATCTCATATGGAGTTCAAATTATTTCAAATTGATGTCAAAAGTTCATTTCTGAATGATTTTCTAAAGAAGTCTTTGTCAAGCAACCACCTGGCTTCGAGTGTCATGAGCCTCCTTATCATGTCTTTAAACTTGACAAGGTGTTATATGGGCTGAAGCAGGATCCTCATGCATGGTATGAAAGGTAGTCCAAATTTCTCCTAAAAAATGACTTTAAAAGAGGAAAAGTTGACAACACCTTATTTTTGAACAAATGGGGGAGGAACCTGCTCATTGTGCAAGTCTATGTTGACGACATCAATTTTGGAGCAACAAATGATTCTTTGTGTGAGGAATTCTCAAAGCTCATGGGAAGTGAGTTTGAAATGAGCATGATGGGGGAATTAAATTTCTTCTTGGGTCTACAAGTCAAGCAAACTCCTAAGGGCATAATTATAAGTCAGCAGAAGTACATCAAAGAGCTTCTGAAGAGATTTGAGATGGAAAGCTAAAAAATCATTGATACTCCTATTGCCACTGCCACTCGTCTGGACATGGATAAACCTGGTTCTCCTGTGAACAAGACCATGTATAGAGGTATCATTGGGTCGCTCCTGTATCTCGCAACAAGCAAACCAGATATCATTTTCAGTGAGGGACTCTGTGCCAGGTTTCAATCTAATCCAAAGGAATCTCATCTGAAGGCTGCCAAGAGAATCTTGAGGTATCTTAACGGAATGCAGGACCTGGTTTTCTACTATCCCTCAGGAGACAATTTCGACTTGATTGGGTATGTTGACAGTGATTATGCTGGTTATCTGGTAGATAGGAAAAGTACATCTAGCATGGCACACTTTCTAGGTTCATGTCTAGTTTCATGGGGTACAAGAAAACAAAGCTCAGTGGCTCTTTCAACTGCAGAAGCTGAGTATGTGGCGGCTGCCTCTTGCTGTGCTCAACTGTTGTAGATCAAGCAATAGCTAGAAGATTTTGGTGTATTTTCTGATTTTGTGCCCTTACTATGTGACAACACCAATTCTCTCAACATGGCAAAGAATCCAGTTTAATATAAGAGAACAAAGCACATTGATGTGCAACATTATTTCCTCAGAGATAATGTTGAAAAAAGGCTTATCTGCATGAAGTTTTGTAGTATAGAAGACCAAATTGCAGATATCTTCACCAAAGCACTGAGCATAGAGCACTTTTAAAAGAATCGTTTGAGCACTAGGGTTGATAAAATCAAGCTGAGGACCTGGTCCCTCGATGATTGGCTTTGAAAGAAATGAACAGGTAAAATAGCTAAAAAGTGTTTTATGGCAAAGTTTAACATATTTCTATAGCATTGCAGGTAGACACGCATGGTGATTACAGAGAAAACAAGAAGCTAATGGTATTGCACTTTGGTAAAAGGATGAGGCTTGAATTTACAAAATATGTTAGGGAACCTGGTTCCTTTGACACAGGTTAGTAGTTCCTCTACACTATCATGCACAACTTTTTAACAGCTAAAAAGGTACCACGTCATTAAAATGTCAGTTTCTCACTTTTCCCCTATTAGAACCCAAGCGTCCTTCCCGTATGAAACGAACCGTCTACCCTGAAAAATTAATACTCGTTCCTAATTAGTCCCTCACCCCTTTTAAATAAATCCAAACACTGTCATTTTCATAATTGTTTACATCAAAAGCCAAAATTCCCCTTTTCTCTCAACAACAAAGCACTCTCTTCTTCCATAAACTCTCACTACACTCCACCATGTCTGAGAATCTCGAAGCCAAAAATGTTCCAAGCATCGTCCTCACTGCGTCTTCACCTACTGAAGCACCAGTGACAGAGTCTACGACCCTTTGCCACCCAGTCCAAACCCTAAGCAAGAATCCCAACCACCCACTGCCTCTTCTCCAACCCAATCAAGTACTGGTTCTCATCGAAGTCGCAAAACTTCGAATCCCAAGAAGTTTGTGGCCACGATCTCTCCTTCTGCCTCGCTAGAAAAAATGGCAAAGGCAGAAGAAAATTAGGAAATTTCTAGTCTGCAAGTGGAAGAAAGTTCTGAGATACAATAAGGTGTGGTTCATAATGGTGATGAATCAGCAATGACTACCCCAGGCCTTGAGAATATTGTCGATTCTACAAGTAACACTCTTCCTATGTCTTCTGAGTTTACTTTGTGGCTTCAAGAACAAGAGGCTATAGAGAATATGTTGTCAATAGCTGTTGAGGGAAGTTTGGTTGGTGGTTACGAGGGTGTATCTGAAACCAATGGGTCTTAGGGGAAAGGTGATAGTATACAGGTAGAGGGTAGGGAGCTAGTGCCTGTCAAAAATCTGGCACCTGAAAGTACTACTAGGGAACCACATGAGGGACCTGATCCATCAGCCCAAGAGGAGCTCTTTGCTCCTACTTGGGATGAAACCCCTTGTTCCTCAAAAGAACCCCAAGTCAGTACTGATCTCGCTCCCTCTCCTCATTTCTATGTTGAGCCATTAACAATTGTTGTCCCTGAGATGAGATCTCTTTTTGAGGAAGAGAATGAGAACAATGAAGAAGACTATGACAATGTTGCTCTTTCATGCTTTATCAGTGCTAGGAGTAGAAAGGTAACTCCCAAGGAGCCCATTCGTAAAAGACCTACTACTAGATTGCAAAAGAGAGAAGCTCTTGAGTCAGTTCTTAAGAAAAATAAAGAAGAAAAGAAGAAGAGAAGGTTGGTGAAGGGTGAAAATGTAGTGAATGAGGAAGTAGTACCTCCAGCACTTGTTGATATTGATGACGAGGTAAATGAAGAAGCTGGTTCCTTAGTTCATAAGTCCCCCAAGAAACCTGCAGTTCCAAGACCCAAGAAAGGGTCATCTGTGAGTATGATGGATGTTAGCAATGTTAAGGTGGAAAAGTCTAGTGAGAAAGTGGCTGAGGACTTTCGTGAGAAGGTGTCTGAGAAATTTGCCGAGAAGGAAAAAAATGTAAGAAAATTAGTGAAAAGGAAGGCTGACGCCAATGAGGAACCTGGTTCCTCCAAGAAGGCCAAGGTGGCTGTGACCAAAGATGAAGGAAGGGAAAATCTGAGAAATTAGAAGGTGCTGTGGGAAGAACATTTGCCCTAGATATTCTTGATATGACAGGGAGGCGCCATCTGGTTGATATATGTGAATTTCAAAATTGAACACATTTTTTCACAAATGAGTCCTAAGGTTTATAAGGTAGAGGTGCATAGTTTCTACGCTGACTTTTTCACAGTAGAGGATGACAATATCTGCATGAAGGTGAATGATGTTGACCTTGTGATGGATGAGGTTATATTGGGAACCATTTTGGGAGTGCATACTGGTGGCATATCCTCCATTGAGGGGACTTGTCTCCAAACTTCAGAAATGCTATCTTGAAGGATAATGCAGTGCAACAAGGGGAACGAGTACACAAGAAGGCTCTCCTTCCAGTGTACCAACTGATGTTTGAAATGGTAAACAAAGTTCTGCTCCCACGCGCAGAAAGACGTTCCATTACGTCAAGAGCAGACTTGTTTCTCATGGAAGTACTGGATGCCTACACTACTACAAAGCTGTCTGGTCTCATGATAGAGCATGTGAAGAAAGTGGCAGATTTTAAGGATGGTAATCTTGGGTTGTCTTACGGGTTCCTACTCACTAAAGTATTTGAATTCTTCAAAGTCCCTTTGGGAAAGGCTAAAATGGGTACTTGCAAGCAAACATTATCCAAGACCACCTTAGAAGAGTGAGTGCATCGATAAGAAATGAGGGGTTGGAAGTAATTCTACTATCTCGCAACTGATTGAAGCTCGAAACATCGCCACCGAAGAGATAAGGAAGCTGAAGGCAAGGAATGCGATTCTTGAAGGTCAGCTTAGTCAGGTCCATGAGGCACCTCGTTCCAACAGTTCACAAGGCACAGAGGTTGCTCGTTTGACCAAGGAAAATGTTGATCTCCAGAAACAGGTCAAGGACCTGAAGGATAGGTTTCTTAACGAGAAGGTGTCAGCAAATGCTCGAATGGACATCCTCCTTAAAACCCTTGCTTCTTCCTCTGCTTCAAATGCTCCCCTTCTAGTTCTCCTTAAAGTCGTTCCCTTCCCAGTGTCAAGTTCAAGTTGTCTGTTCTTTGTTTTGGTTTCTATGTTTATCTATGTTTAATGGCTGGTATCTTTTTGTTGTTTTATTTTGTGGGTGATTATATAACAAATGGAACTGCTCCCTGTTTATTTCCAAAATTAATGCATATCCTGTCCTTTTTTGTGTGCAAACATATGGCATGAGTTATCCAAGCTAGACTACTTTCTGCATATTGCTTGCTACTAATCTTTTTTATGATGCCAAAAGGGGAAAAATTAATTGAGGGGGAACAAGTTCAGGGGGAATACAGGATATACGTATGATACTCTAGTTCTCAGGGGAAACTTCAATTACAAGTTTGTCATCATCAAAAAGGGAGAAATTGATAGGTTATGCATCTTGTTATATTTTGATGATCCAACAAACTTGTTGTTGAGAACAAGATGATGAACCTACTCCACATCCTCAAGTACTCAAGAACAACAAGTCTCAAGTCGGGACATGGTTTCAACATTTCAGAGTCAAAGAACTAATAGAGGGAACAGATGGACATCAGTTCCCTTGCTGATTGTACCAGTCAACCCCCACAGCTGTAAAGTCGCTGCAACTGTTTCTCTGCACACACGCAACAGAGCAAATAGTGCAACAATCACTTTATGGGGAATGCCCTTGTACCAAACATGCTTGCATCATTCAAGTAATGTCACTTATGTAATATTAACATGAAGCAAAGGAAAAACATCACCCTTGCATATCCCAGAATTCATCAAGCTTTCTCTCAAGTGTGTGTCAATCTAGCAAGTGACTTTCAAGGGCATCAAGAATAAAGAACAACATAACAAAGGACTAGTTTCCTGTATTGAGTCATTATATGTCCTTAGTTGTGTTACACCTTTGTTAAAGTGATTTACTTGTAATTCCTACTTAGCTTAGTCAGAAGAATTGGTAGGAAACCTTTTTGTAAAACCTTAAACCTTATGTTTGTGTCTTGGCTAGAGTTAGTCGAGTTATAAGCTTTATAATAGAGTTATTACAAAGGGGCTTGTGATAGAGTTATTACAAGTAAGTGAGGGATCCTAGGTTACAGTAGGTTGTAATCTGATGTATACTCAGTAGTGAAGTTGAAATTCTACGAGCGTAGGTCGTAGTTTTTAATCCCGTGAGCTGAGAGTTTTTCACATAAAACTCTATTGTGTCATTTACTTACCTCTGTGTGTGCACGTTCTATGGGAACTAATAGAGAACCTGGTGTCACACCTCCTTTTTACACCCCGAGGGTATATGGGAGTTTTTTCAATTAAAGTGATATTATTCGAAATGAGATTAATTTATTTATCAGAGTCGTCACTTGGAATAAATTATTTGGTGTTCCAATTCACCGGTTTATTTTAAAATCCCAAATCAAGGAAATTTTTATTTTTTAAAGTCCGCGAACCAGAAATTCTAGATAAGGAATTCTGTTAACCCGGGAGAATGTGTTAGGCATTTTCGATTTTCGTGGTTCTAGCACGGTCGCTTAAACTGTTAATATTGTCCTATTATCTGATTAATTATGCATTTTAACCTATTTGCATTTTTACGACTTTTTAATCGCTTTTACTCTTTTTTAGGAAAATTCAATGTTATTTAAAACACATCTTGAACCACGCTACATGAAATGCACCTACGGTTCGCGACACGTTATATTTAACATTGTTGGAAATTGAAGTCGGGTCACATGATATGTACACCCGGATTTTAGCAATCACAACTACGTCATGGGAGCCGTACCTGTAGCCATGATAATTTACTGTAGCGTGCCCAAAGCAACTACAAAGAATCATTTTTAATAGCTAAGTTACAATATTTGTGAGTGCCATGGTTGATCTAATTTATGGATGGCACACCTCCAACCTTTT